TGGCGACAGCCTGTCTGGTCCCGGGCAGCTTTGCACCTGCCCGGGACTGCCTGCAAACGCCCGAGCCGTTTGCAAGGCTCGGGACATAACAGTACAGGTAGTCCGTCACTGATGAACACAGTGGAGACCAAAATTTCAGCCACTATGCAAGGTGGTTGTTAAGTGAGTCCTGTCCGACTTTACAACATTAGTGGGGTTTGTTTGGCCACGGTTGTTAATTTTACCCCTGCAGTTGGTAAGTGAACCATGCAGTTGTGAAGAGAAGCTGGTTTTTCCCATTAATGTTGCTTATCAGGGGAGGTCTCTAACGGTGAACACAGGAACGTGGTAGATTCATTTAACAACCATGCTAAAAAAATTATTCTAAACTTTACTTAACAAACTGCAACTGATATTTCTAAAAGCATCCGCAGTGCACCTGGGTTCTCCTAGTCCAGGGTCAAGCCCATCACACTGGCCAAATTGCACTACTGACCAGCCACCAACTGGCTGACCCTTGTCCACTGGATCAGTTCTGTCTCCTTTGGTAGCTGCACCAAGGCCATTCTCAGGCCCACAGAGTGCTCTCCGACACATCTACGTGCAGGCCGAACTATCCGCCACAAGCAGCCATGTCAAAGGAGGGATCCCAGACTGCCGAGATGTGTCTGCCCGAGCAGGCAATTGTGGGGAAACTGTATTTTGCCGGAGGGATCTAAAAGAAGGGGGGGGGGTCACGTCGGCTGGAAAGGATCCTAGAGAAAGCTTTTATTAGACAATGGGCTTCCCTGTTTCGCACCGAGCTTCCGTGACATAAAAAGAAGAACAAGCAACAAATCAGAAGAAAAACTGTCTGGGGAAACGGCAGTGGGGGGTCGAGGGAAATATGCCTGTTTGGGCTACAAGGGAGGAAGGAGACAAACGGGTATATTGTGTGACTGGGGGACCCCCGGGCAAAAACTGTCTGGCGGGGTTCAAAGCAGATGGGCGAGGTGTGCAAAACTCATTTCCCCGAAGCGCAGCAGTCTGGAGCAAAGCGTGTGTGGGCCTTTCTAGAAGTCTGGGAGAATGTTGGCTGGCAACCAAATTGAGGGCTGTCCTGATTCTTCTTCTTCTTCTTCTTCTTCTTCTTCTTCTTCTTCTTCTTCTTCTTCTTCTTCTTCTTCTTCTTCTTCTTCTTCTTCTTCTTCTTCTTCTTCTTCTTCTTCTTCTACTTCTTCTTCTTCTTCTTCTTCTTCTTCTTCTTCTTCTTCTTCTTCTTCTTCTTCTTCTTCTTCTTCTTCTTCTTCTTCTTCTTCTTCTACTTCTCCTTCTCCTTCTCCTCCTCCTCCTCCTCCTCCTCCTCCTCCTCCTCCTCCTCCTCCTCCTCCTCCTCCTCCTCCCCTTCCTTCCCTTCCTTCCTTCCTTCCTTCCTTCCTTCCTTCCTTCCTTCCTTCCTTCCTTCCTTCCTTCCTTCCTTCCTTTCTTTCTTTCTTTCTCTTTTTAAGGACATTTTGCGTGATATTTATGGGGAGGGAGTCGAAGGGAGAATCTCTGAGGGCCAATGGTGCCTTTTCCTATCTTGGCCGGACAATTGATCTGGGGACGAGTAGAGAGAAATGTGAGGAGGGTGGGAAAGTGGTGGGGTAGACTGCACCCCTCCATGGAAGCTCTACGGGTAACCCTCAACTTATGACCACAACTTAGCCCCAAATTTTTGTTAAGTGAGACATTTGTTAAGTGAGTTTTGCCTCATTTTACAACCTTCCTGGCCACAGTTGTCAAGTGAATCACTGCTGGTAACATAGTTGTTAAAGTAGTAACACGGTTGTTAAGTGAATCTGGCTTCCCCATTGACTTTGCTTGTCAGAAGGTCCCAAAAAAGGTGATCACATGACCTCAGGACACTGCAACCGTCATAAACATGAGTCAATTGCCAAGGAGTCCGAATTTTGATCAAGGGACCATGGGGAGGCTGCAGTGGTCGTAAGTGTGAAAAATGGTCATGTCACTTTTTTCAGTGCTATTGTAACTTTGAACAGTCACTAAATGAACTGTTGTAAGTCAAGGACTACCTGTACGAAGCTGCTTTTGGGTAACAGCAAGCCATACCCTATCCGTAACCCAGAGAGCCTTTTGTCAAATAGCCTGGATTGGACATGGAGAATAGTCGGGAAAGGGAAGGGAAATTGGGGACATTTTTAACTATGGTGTTCACATTACAGGTAGTTCTCGACTTAACAACCATCTGTTTAATGGTGGCACTGAGAAAAGATGACCTGTTTTTCACACTTATGACCATTGTATCGTCTCAATGGTCATGTGATCAAAACATATAAGGAACGATTGCTGGAATTGGGTATGTCTAGTTTAATGAAGAGAAGGACGAGGGGGAACATGATAGCAGTGTTCCAATATCTCAGGGGCTGCCCCAAAGAAAAGGGAGTCAAAAGCACCTGAAGGCAGGACAAGAAGCAACGGATAGAAACCAATCAAGGAGAGAAGCAACCTAGGACTAAGGAGAAACTTCCTGACAGTTAGAACAATTAACCAGTGGAACAACCTGCCTCCAGAAGCGGTGAGTGCTCCAACACTGGAAGTTTTTAAGAAGAGACTGGACAGCCATTCGTCTGAAATGGTATAGGGTTTCCTGCCTGAGCAGGGGGTTGGACTAGATGACCTTCAAGATCCCTTCCAACTTTATTATTATTATTATTATTATTGATCATCGCACAGTCAGCCAGATGTTCAGATTGGATTTGGCATTTATTATTATCATCATCATCATCATCATCATCATTATCATTATAATATATCTGAAATGGTGTAGGGTTTCCTGCCTGAGCAGGGGGTTGGACTAGATGACCTCCAAGGTCCCTTCCAACTTTACTACTATTACTATTACTATTACTAATAAAAATTCAGGCACTTGGCAACTGGCATGTATTTATGACAGTTGCCGTCACGTGATCACCCTTTGTAACCTTTTCCAGCCTGCTTCAAACAAGCAGAGTCAAGGGGGGAAGCCAGATTCGCTTAAGAACCACACCATTTACTTAACAACTGGAGTGATTTGCATAACAGCTGTGGCAAAAAAGGATCGTAAAATGGGGCAAAACTCACTTAACGACTGTCCTGCTTAGCAATGGAAATTTTGGGCTGAATTGTGGTCAAAAATTGAGAACTACTTGCATTGTGTATTTTGACCAGGGGACCATGGGGATGCTGCAATGGTCATCAGTCGGAAAAACGGTCATAAGTCACTTTTTTCAGTGCCTTTGTTTGTTAACTTCAAACAGTCACTAAACAAACTGTGGTAAGTCAACACTTTTGTATCGTGTTCTGCATTGTGTTCTGTATTGTGCTTTGATTTATTTTCTCCAATAAATCTTTATTAATCCGAGCTGTGGGAATAGCCCCAGTGGCTTTGCATGTTTAAGGGAAGGGTACCTTTATTTATTCATTAAATTTAGTTGCTTCCCAGCTCACTGTCAAGGGGCTCTGGGTAGCTTACAACATTATAAAATTGTTTTATAATAATATAAAACAATGAGAACGTTAAAAGTACTCAAAATGCTGTGCGTTAACGGTTTAATCATTAAAAATTAAACGTAAAGTTTAATGAGCTTAGAATCTAATTGCTGCTAAGCAGAGCTGGGGGGGGAATTGGCTGGTGGTATAAAAATACAAGAAATAAAAATAAAGTTGGCTGCTTCTTGGTTAGGATTGAAGGTGGGTGAATGGTGTAATAAATATCATAAATGTGCTATTGATGAGCTACTTGAAAAGATTAGCAATGAGGTAGCTACTATTTATAGAAGGGTCCTCGGTGGTCATCTAGCCCAACCCTCTGCTGATGCAAGAAATCTGCTCTCTATAGGTGGCCGTCCAGTCTCTGTTTACAAGCCACTAACTGAGGACCAATAGCCCTTCCCTGCGGCTTATGCTGCTAATTATCCAAAAGCCAGAGCAAACAGCTCTCATATCTGTTTTATAACCTATAAAAGACAATATTTGTACAGTAGCGCAGGGTTGAAATGAGTTTTATAACTTGTCTGTATAACCTGGAAGGAATATGATAACCTACGACAGCAATTAAGCCCAAAATTATACCTGTAAGTCATGGCAGTTGTTAAGCAGGAGGCCAGTTTTATTACTGTTTTTGTGGCAGTCATTAAAGGTATACCACCGTTGTTAAATGAATGCTACAGTTGTTAAGCGAAGGCGGTGGTTGTTAAACAAATCCATTATACCCAATGGGCGTCTTTTTGCTGGAAACAGAAAGTAAACACCAGAAACCAGCAAAAATGCCAAAAATTGTGGCCACATGACTGCGGGATGCTGCAAACATTCGTCAATGTGAGTCGGTTGCCAAGCATCCAAAAATGTGATCACACGATCACAGGAATGTGTGTCTGTGACCATCAGGATTTCAAAATTGGGTGGTAAAGTACAGGGTTTGTCATAACTTCAAATGGTCGCTAAGTGAGCAGTCATTAAGCGAGGACCACTTGTAGAGACTACTGTGCGCTGGCTGGGGATTATGGAAGTTGAAGTATACACGTTTTAAAGTTGCTGAGGTTGAGAAACACTGGTCTAGACCAAAATTTTCATCACTTACAGGAAAAGCCTAGAACCGGAAGCAAAGAAAATAATATTGTAATAGGTAAATTCAGAATAATAATAATAATAATAATAATAATAATAATAATAATAATAATAATAATAATAATAATAATAATAATAATAATATAGCATTGGAAGGGACATTGGAGGTCATCTAGTCCAACCCCCTGCTCAGGCAGAAAACCCTATACCATTTCAGACAAATAGCTATCCAGTTTCTTCTTAAAAACTTCCAGTGTTGGAGCATTCACCACTTCTGGAGGCAGGTTGTTCCACTGGTTAATTGTTTTAACTGTCCGGAAATTTCTCCTTAGTTCTAGGTTGCTTCTCTCTTTGATTAGTTCAGGCGAGATCGCTCTTGGCTTCATAGGACCGGTTAAGATCCAGTGCTTTAAACAAATTACAAAACCTTTTACCTTTGCAGGGGTGGCAAGTCACAAGGCCCAAGATCCTAAGAAGGCCGATCTTGTTGTCCGGGTGTGAGTAATTTGACCAGGCCATGTCCGTATTTCCATTGCCACAACACTCCTCCCAAGTGACCCCCGTCTGGAGGATCATCGTGCACCTGGCTTCCCGTCCTTGCTGTAACCAGCAGATCCCACCTTTAGGGAGAAAGGGAGAAAAATGAGAATTCTCTCTTCTTTTATTAAATTTTTTTCCGTAACTAAAAAAACAAATTAATTAAAAAGTTGAGAAAAAAGAAAGAAAGAAAGAAAGAAAGAAAGAAAGAAAGAAAGAAGGAAGGAAGGAAGGAAGGAAGGAAGGAAGGAAGGAAGGAAGGAAGGAAAAAAAGAAAGAAAATGGAAAATGGGCAGCTATATTAATGTTTTAAACAAAAAAACTGGGACTGAGAAAAGGGTCTGCAGCAAAGCAGAAATGTGGAGAACTATACAAAACTAAATATAGATATATCATGAGGAAACATATAAACATGTTTGCTTTGCATTTAACATATCTCTACCTAACTTGTACTTTCTAAATTTATCTGCTAATTAGAATGAAATTAATCTTCAATTTCCACAGTTCTTCAAACATCGCAAAGTAATTCCTCTGTATAAAACAAAAAGGATCTAAAAATGACTACAGAAAATATGTTTAATTTGTGTACAATAGACATACACAGATTACATCGAAAATTCTTGCTTATATTTGGGTAAGCCACTAGCAGTGCTGTTTATACAAAATCCATTTTTGACCTAGTAAAATATTGCTTCTGCAACTCCCAAGACCAGTTTTCTATGAATAAGAATGATTTCTGCAATTTTAGGATTAGGTCTGGATGTCAAATATTTCCGTGACAGCTAGATGACACCTTCAAATTAGAATAGTCCAGGTATTTGCCATCCAGATGTGGTAATCCTAGTTTATTTTCAGTAAAAGGATCCTACAGGTATAAAAAAATGCTCGCTAAAATTCAGTCTCCAGATAGAACCGATAACGATGGAATGGTTCCAATTGGCTTTCTATATTGTTGAACTTCTGAATATTATAATCCAGAAGTATATTTATATTTATATTCCAATGTTACTCACCCGTGGCCATTGTGGGAGTTTACAGTTGTGGGAGTTGAAGTCCACACATCCTAAAAATCGCTAAGATTGAGAAACACTGCGGCATTTTAAAAAGCTGAACCAATCAGCTACGGATAATTGATTCCTACCATATACAGTTAGTCCTTGACTTAGGACCACAATTAAGCCTAAAACTTCTGTTGCTAAGTGAGACATTTGTTAAGCGAGTTTTGCCTCATTGTATGACCTTTCTTGCCACACTTATTAAGTGAATCACTGCAGTTAAAATTAGTAACATCATTGTTAAGTGAATCAGGCTTCCCCATGGACCTTGCTTGTCAGAAGGGACACCGGGACATAGCAACTGTCATAAATACGAACCAGTTGCCAAGCATCTCAATTTTGATCACGTGACCATGGGGATGTTACAATGGTAAGCCACTTTTTTCAGTGCTGTTGTAACTTCGATCGGTCATTAAAATAGAATAGAGCTGGAAGGGACCTGGGAGGTCTTCTAGTCCAGCCCCCTGCTCAAGCAGGAGAACCTATACCATCTCAGACAGGTGACTGTCTAGTCTCTTAAAAGTCTCCAGTGAGGGAGCACCCACAATTTCTTGTGGCAAGCTGTTCCACTGGTTGATTGTCCTCACTGTCAGGAAGTTTCTCCTTAATTCCCGGTTGCTTCTCTCTTTGATTAGTTTCCAACTATTGTTTCTCATCCTTCCCTCTGGTGCTTTGGTGAACAACCTGACCCCCCTCTGCCTTGTGGCAGCCCCTCAGATACTGGAACACTGCTATCGTGTCTCCCCTACTTCTTTTCTTTAGACTAGCAAACCTGTAGCCATTCTTCGTATGGTTTAGCCTCCAGGCCTTTGATCATCTTAGTTGCTCTTCTCTGAATTTTTTCCAAACTTTTCAACATCTTTTTTGTGATATGGTGACCAAAATCGGCTGCAGTATTGTACCTTGAGGACTACCTGTATTTTCTTAACATACAAATATAAAAGAAACAGCATGCTCTAAATCTGTGAATGTGGGACTGCTTACCTAACAAGTTTCAATCCAACCTGTTTCCCATTCCTCAGTTCTGACCCTCATTCTCCCTGCCAGTATGTAACTACAGGTAGTCCAACTGGTCTTCCAACTGGTCACTTCCAACTGGTCACTTAGTGACCATTCAAACTAACAACGGATCTGCCCAGGGCTACTTATGACTCAGATTCTAATTTCTGACACCTCCTCCCCCATAGTCACATGATCACATTTTGGGTGCTCAGCAACCAGCCCACAGTAAAGTTGTTTGCAGAATCCTGCAGTAGCATGACCACGATTTATATATTTTTTTTGCTGGAAACCTGCATTTATTTCCGGTTTCCAGCACAAAAAGGCCCACTGGGGGAAACGGATTCGCTTAACAACCATAGCAATCACTTAAATTATTGCCATGTTTGTTTAATGACAGCTGCAAAAAAAGTCATAAAATCAGGTTGGTCACATGGCTGTCTGGACTTATGATCGTCATGACTTATGACGGAAATTCTAGGCTCCATTACAGTTGTAAATCAAGGACTACCTGTATTTCCAAGCCTATGTTTAGCCCCTGTTGGGTCATATTCTGAATAGAGCGTTGATCCCAGGCTTCCTTTGATGAAGACTTCACAACAAATTATGAAAAGATTGATATTTGGGAAATTTAACTGAAGAACGTGTCTCGTTAGCTCGGCGAAGAACTTTGCGAAATGGACTTATCCTTCTGCAAATATTCCAGAGCAATTTTTCTCAACCGTGCCAACTTTAAGATGTGCAGACTTCATCTCCCAGAATTCCCCTGCCAGCTCAGGATTCTGGCTGGGGGAATTCTGGATGTTGAAGTCCATGGGTCTTCAAAGCTGCCAAGGGTCTGAATATTTCCATTGCTGAATTCGTTTTCTGGAAAAGCAAGCTACATTTGTCTACATTTGTCTATTGGGCATTGCACATCTAAAGTTGGGGTCTGCATTGCCAACCAACCCTTCTACCAAAGAGAGGGAGAACTGAGTTTCTCGCAGTTTTTTCTCATCAGGAGTATCAACAATTTCCTAAAATAGGGTTTTGCAATTATGCCTTCATCCTTTGCATTTTCAGATGAAAGCATCTCAAAATACATTGGAGCCAAAAGACATAAGAAATGATCAGTCCAAAGATGAAAGATGGATTATATTATAGGCACATATTACCATATTTGGTGGACATGTGGGAAGGCAAAGGCCTATTGGAAAAGCATACATATGTGGTTAGAAAAAATATTGGGCGAACAAGTGGATTTTAAACCTGAACTTTTTTTACCAGGCATTATGTCTGAAAAGATTAATAAGCAGAAATTATATTTAATTCTACATATTACCACAGCAGCAAGAATAATTTTTGCACAGTACTGGAAGAATGAAGGATTGCCACCAGAAGAAGAAATAATCACGAAAATATTGGAATGTGCAGAGATGGATAGACTAACTATGAGGCTGAAAGACAAAGAAGATACGGACTATTATAAAATTTGGAATTTATTTTATTCTTGGTTAGAGAAAAGAATGAAGGATTAGGAAGTGAACATGTATTAGCTTAGCAAACACCAGACAACTTGTTTGATTGGAAAAATTAACACATGTTGATGGAAAAAAAATTAATAAAAAAGATTGTTGAAAAAAAAAAGATAAAGATGGATTATAGCCTGATTTAGCATAAGGCAGTGATGGCGAACCTTTTAGAGACCGAGTGCCCCAAAACTGGCCCCGTCCCCACTCTGCCCCCCACCCCCCACCCTGCCTGCCCACAGAACCACTCACTCGCCTCCAGGGCCTGCTGCAGATCGCCCAGGCAGCCCAGAAGCGCTATGGCAGCTATACCCTTTGCCCGCGCCCTGCAGCATCAACTGCATGATGGGGTGTGAGGGCGGAGTCTTGTCTACCCTGCCTGGCTGCCATGTCCTTGGCTGCGCTGCTCCGTGTGGGCCACGTTCGGGGGCGACTCTCCTTCAGGGAGGCTGCTGGAGAGCAAGGGGTCACGGGGGGAGGCAAAGCTGGGGCAACGGCACGTGTGCCCACAGAGAGGGCTCCGAGTGCCGCCTCTGGCACCCATGCCATAGGTTTGCCACCACTGGCATAAGGTAACTTAGCATGTTCATAAGTACTGCGACAGTTGTCACATTAGAAAAAGCATCACTTCTGGTATTTCAGAGAACGGAAAGATCAACTTCCATGTTGGCTGTGAGATGGATCTTTCTCAGAATCTGCAGAAACATGGCGCCATCTTGGAACAGGGCTTCCATTCTGCAAGGAAGAGCCGAGGTGGCGCAGCAGTTAGAGTGCAGTACTGCAGGCCACTTTAGCTGACTGTGTTCAGCAGGTCAGCGGTTCAAATCTCACCGGCTCAAGGTTGACTCAGCCTTCCATCCTTCCGAGGTAGGTAAAATGAGGACCCAGATTGTTGGGGGCAATGTAAATATATATATACATTGCTTACTGATGTACACCGCTTAGAGAGTGCTTGCACTTAAAAGCGATATATAAGTCTCATAAATAAATAAATAAATAAATAAATAAATTGGGAAGGTCTCTTCTAAAGCTCATGCAAGACTTGTATTCGAAACTACCTCACCCAGCATTTTGCAACTGGACTTTCAAAGAAACAAGTTTTTTTTTTAGCTGTCTAATCTCACGTACCCACGGTTGGAAGCCTCCAGTGATACAAGATGAAAAACAGATATCTGTCACTTTTTTTTAAAAAAAAATCTTGCCTATTATTTTTATAAATAACTCAAGGTGGCAAACATACCTAATATTCCACCTGCTATTTTCTCCACAACAATCTGTGAGATGGGTTAGGTTCAGAGAGGAACTAGAGCAAAGTTACCCAGCTGACTTTTATGCCTAATGTGGGATTAGAACTCCCAGTCTCCTGGTGATTGGCCCAAAGTCATCCATTTGGCTTTCATGCCTACATTGGGACTAGACCTCACTAGATCCTGATCGTTGGCCCAAAGTCACCCAGCCAGTTTTCATGCCTAAGGCAGGACTAGAACTCACACTCTCCTGATTTCTAGCCTGGTGTCTTAA